ATATTTGAATCTTTTACAAAATGCCAGCCAAAATAAAGAACAAGATACTCGTATACGAGGGCAGCAATTATCTGAGATATCGCTTGTTACTGTCTACGTTATCTGGAAAGCCAGTCAAAATTACAAATATCAGAACGAGAAATGATGATCCTGGTCTGAAAGGTTAGCAATATTTATGAAATGTATTTCAATCAATCTTTTCATTGACTGCGTATGTATATTTTTAATAGAGTATGAGATTAGTTTTATCCATCTATTGGACAAGATAACAAATGGTACAAAAATTGAGCTGAATGAAACTGGTACCAATATATATTATAATCCTGGTTTACTAAATGGTGGCGAATTGGAGCACGACTGTAGCTTGCAAAGAGGTATCGGTTATTATTTGGAAGCAGTTCTGATACTTGCACCGTTTTGTAAAAATAGTATTGATTTGAAGCTCAGAGGAGTGACCAATAATACCACAGGTAAGATAATATATTTATTAAATAATTATTAAAACACCTGTAATTGACATGATATAATTTCTATCATTAAGATCCATCAGTGGACAGAATTCTAAGTGCTGGTATACCGATATTGAAGAGATTTTTAGCAGGTGACAATCAAGTTGTACTGACTATTCGCAAGAGAGGAGTAGCACCTTTGGGAGGTGGAGAAGTGCAATTTAAATGCCCTGTCAGTCGGAATCTTAAAACGATTCAGGTATTGTTCTCCATCTACTATGTGATTATCATTTTATAACTGTTGTAATTGTTTCTTTCTCTTGTCAGTTGGAAGATAGTGGAATGGTAAAACGTATTAGGGGTACTGCGTGTAGCATTAGAGTTTCTCCAGCAATCGCTAATCGTATTATTGAATCGGCAAAAGGGGTTCTTCTCCAATTTTTACCAGATGTATACATTTACGCAGATCATAGTAAAAGATCTACTAGTGGAAAGTCGCCAGGTATAAGTAGTATATATATCATCGTAATTGAATTAGTCCTTGTACGAGTTATTTCTTGCACGTCAGGTTTTGGAGTCACCCTGACAGCGGAAACTACGAAACAAATATTTTTTTCTGGGCAAGCATTCTCTCCGTTAATGACGACAGGCTCATTACCGTGCGTGCCTGAAGATCTTGGCAAAGAAGCAGCAATGAGACTCCTGGATGAAATCTATAGGTAAGAGATCATTTCTCCTCGTACACACTTCAACTCTTGTAATTTGATCAATTCGTAGGAATGGATGTGTAGATTCCTCTTTTCAAAGTATGACTGCGGCATTTATGGCTCTTGGTAAAAAGGACATTTCTAAAGTCACAGTAGGCCCGTTAACTCCAGCAATGTATGTAATAGCCGTAGAGTTGTTTTACACTCGTAGGAACATTTCTCATTCACTTTGGTGATTTTCAGGATACAATTCTTACGCGACATGCGTGACTTCTTTGGAGTTACTTTCAACATCGAACAGATGAAAGAAGGAGATGAAACATTGTCGCAAATACGTCTAACTTGTTTAGGTGTAGGTTATAGTAATATAAGTAAACGAATTCTATAATTGCTGTCGCAAATAAAATTGAGTTTATTTCCAGTATGGGAAATCTTATAATGCAAATCTTTGCAAATGTATCGATTTACATGGCCAATTAAGAAAGGATTCACATTTCAATTGTTTCCATTTGTTTTGATAGGTTATCGACCATTGTTTCCAATCGTAATACGTCATCTTTTTCGGATGTCTTATTTCACCGTAGTAATTGCGATGTTTGTCGAAGATTTGCAAAAAACTTTGCAAGAGCATTCGCCGAGTCACGAGTAATAAATTATTACCTCGCCTCTTCTTCGTCAGCCCTTGCTTTCTGCCCGCAACTGCTAATTCTAATGGACTGTGTGCACAAAATCAGAATTTCGGACATTGCATACAAGAGTGATGTTAGAGACGTACTAGAGATATATATTATCGATACCTGTGCCTTGCCGCACACCATATGATGCTTACTGGGCAGGGATATGATCTTTCTTGTCCCTTTTTGTGCGCAAAAGCAGTTTTCGCTTGAAAAATGTCAAGTCTAGCCAACTTTGTATTAAATCTCTTGTATAATCCACGTTCCATGGCATCCAGAGAGAACGGACAGTCGCCTCCGATGGTGACACTTGACAACTTGATCGGTGGTATTATTAAGGACAGGAGTGATCCTTGTAGGCCGAGAACGAGCCACCTGTGAGCAAAGTTTATAAATGCGAAATCGCTACAATGGACAATAGGATGCATCTTACTTTGCCATCTTATCCGAACAAGACAAACTGCTCGTCGGATCTCCTCTACCAGGCTTGGTGCGCAGAGGGCCTACGACATGATAATCTGCACCAGGCAAACGAGGATCCTGCGCTCGCTCCTCTCTCACGCATTTCGCTCCTGTTCTGTATACATCTTGCGATGTTATTATATTGGTATCGACGCGTCTAATCTTACATCGCTCATGGTCGTTGTCCGTTTTCCGTTTCGGCAGAATGGAACAATCTCCACAAGGTGTTTGACTCGAGAAAAAGTGAAACGACACCTCGTTATTTAAATCTAGTTTCTCTCGATCGGTCCGTGAGAAAATTGCGCTCTCGCGGCCACTCAAAGTCAAGTCGGTCTGATCGTACAAGTAACGTATAAACGCACGCCTGGCTAGAACCTCCGCGTGCGAATCGCTCAATCGAGAGCCTGCCTCTTCTCGAGTGCTCTTTAGCAATTCCGAGTCTCCTAAGCATTTCGTTCCAGTAGCGAGTGCCACCACGGACAATACGCCGTCAGCATTTCTCATTACGACGCCAGACAACACGGTCCATTCACGAGCATTCGGTTTGCTCGCCTCTCTTAGAAGAGTGTACTTTTCTACGCACAATCTAGCTACGTTGTCGGCCAAGTTGTCCATTTGCACAGGTTAGGTTAGGGTTACTACACGAGTTGACACGAGTTGACACGAGTGTCGCAGAGTTATTACAGGTTATTCACTCGTAAGAGAATGTTTCGAAGGATTGTCAGCAAATTGCGAGCGTGCCCACCGTTGAGATATTCCACGAGCATAGAGAATCGAGTTGTCCCGACAATATCCAAGGTACAGTACGATGACGAGAGCACATTCTATCAGAAGCCTCGGCAGGTGTGGCTGGAGAATTTAAATACTGTAGAGGAAAAGAAATTGGGCCTGGTCACCTTACATCCGCACATCTATGCGGCTGCACCCCGTATCGATATCATTCACCAGAATGTCAGATGGCAAAAGATGTACCGCTGGGTTGTAAGTAGTGACAATCCAATTATATATCTCACATAAATCACATTTCTCCGATGACTCGCGACTATCTTTCGTTTACAGTCTTACGCGCATACAAAAACGCGCGCCGAAGTTCGAGGTGGTGGCAGGAAGCCTTGGCCGCAGAAAGGATTGGGTCGCGCTCGCCATGGAAGTATACGTTCACCATTGTGGAGAGGTGGTGGAATAGCGCACGGTCCTCGCTCACCAACACCGCACTTTTACATGTTGCCATTTTACACCCGTCTAATAGGCCTCACGGCAACATTATCCGTCAAACTAGCGCAAGACGACCTGCATATAGTCGATGGATTAGACATTCCTACGTCTGAACCTTCCTACATAGAAGAGCTAATCCAGGAGAGAAATTGGGGACCGTCCGTTCTTTTTGTAGACAGCTATGATATTATGCCTGCAAATATTACACAAGCTACCGATCTAATTAAACATGTCAATCTAATGCCCGTTTATGGTACGTATATTCCACTGATCCGAGGATTCGACGCTTATAGAAACTTTATATTAATTTCTCACGTGTATACAGGCTTGAACGTGTATAGCATGCTGAAACACGATACCCTGGTACTCACGGAAACAGCAGCCAGAGTGATGGAAGAAAAATTGCTTTATCATTTACATAGGGCAGACAGCGTTAAATTGTGTCGTCAATTTAAAGTTAATCAACAATGATTGCATCGCTTGTATTTCTATGTACATTTCTTTAATATCAGAATCATTTAAAAAATATTCAAGTAAAATAATTATCGTCTCATATTATTTATCCAATTACTTTTCCGTTATTTCTCAAAGACAGTTCGTGGTCACTTCTTCTTCAATATCGGCACGAGTGTCGTCGCTTTTCTTGAAAGTGGCTAAAATGAAAAAATACCAATACAAGCTGTTCAAGTGATACAAATGATACAAGTGATACTGTGGCAATTTGCAAATCTTACCACTGGATGTGGATCTGTACCAAGCATCTTTTCCCGCACAGCCCATCTTACTTTCGAATGCTTTGCTTCTCCAGGGAGAGATATCTGCTTCCACTCCCGTTGGTACTTTTGGTAAAGAGCAACAGGATCACATTTCCTGCTGGCAATATTTCTTTGTGCCTCCGACTGTAATCTCCATGGCCGAATAACTGTATACAAAGATGAAAAACTTTTTATTTATATCAAATGTACATACACATATCGTACAACTTACACGACTTGTGCGCAAAATTAACGGATGATCTTGCTGATAAGGTACTTTGCGCGCGCACGTTTCCACTCGGATCTGTTGTAACGCTCTTCGATTCCGATCTACTTATACGATTCGATAAAACAGGCGCACTCGCTGGATGGACTCTCTCAATTCTTAAATTTTGTTTACACGTTTCTGCCGAAGCGTCATTTCTCATCAGACATTTGGAAAGATTTTGTTTGCTTTCATCTCTCGAATCTTTGATAACTGGATAAGGTTTGGCATTAAAATAAGTTTCGTCTACTTGAATGGCATTTTCCTTGTCGTACTTGGACAATTTCTCATCTGATTTTATCATAGTTGTTTTGCAATGTTTTGCTTTTTCCACACTTTTCTCCTCTTCTTTGGGAATACATCTTATTTTAACTTTTACCACTGACTCATCGCCGAGGGAATTTGAAGATTCCGAAGAAATGATATTACTCGAGGAATGTTTATAAGCTTCTTTTAGTAGAGCCTGTTGCTTGTTAATTATTTTCGTTTTAATCTCTTCTTTCCGTTGCTGCTTCTCGCGTTCTTTTACCTTTCTGTATATCTTCAAGTCTAGAAAGGAAAATTGATAATAAAAGATTTGAGAAATACACATATCAATCTCGTGGCAGTAATACTAAAAGAAATCATGTTGTAATAAATAGGAAAATAATGCACCTTTCATAAAAGCTTTGAGTTGAATCGCAGTGATGCCGACGAATCCTAATGAATTGAGAAGAACGAGAACTTGTCGCGGATCATCTTTAATTTCCGACATAATCACGTCAATTTCAAACGAGAGAAACGTTAATACTGCATAGACATTTCCCTATTAAGGTCTCTGTTTGCGTCGCATGCCCCACACATGCTCCTGTTTGCCCGAACGACCAATAGCAGCATTTTATTGACGATTTAAGTGACGGTATTGGTTGTTGGGGCCGCAGACTTTGATATATTAAAGACCCTCTAATAAGAGCCTGGCCACAACGAGGATTAGGTTAGTATCCGCCATTTTTCTGCAAATTCCTGCGAAAGAGAGATAATATACTTATCTTGATGGAATTGATGATATTAAGATAACTTTTAAATAATAAGAATTAAATTTGAAGAAATACTAATTTCAAGTACTGATTCATTATGTTTCACTAGTAGAAGCTTTAGAAAACTGGCGCGAATTGAAGAGAAATGGCGGACCAATCGTCTCTTAGGGTGCTTTCACATGGAGCGTAACCTGCGTATCGCCAATCACAGGACTAGTTGAACGGAATTATTGAAACGGTTCTATCAGCATGATCCTGTGATTGGTGATACGCAGGTTACGCTACGCAATTTACGCTCCATGTGAAAGCACCCTTAAGCCCGCTGCAGACGATGCTATTTTTCCTGCTGGATTGCTTGCGATTTACTAAATTACTAGGAATCCTGAATGCTGAGTGGAGCAATGATAGTAATTTACTAAATCGCAAGCAATCCAGCAGGAAAAATAGCATCGTCTGCAGCGGGCTTTATTCTAGCTTCGTGTTAAAAAGCGAGGCAAGAGCAGGCGAGGTAGAGGGTAGAGGGTAGAGGTAGATTTGCGCGCTGTGCCGCTGTGCGACGAGAAAAGTCGACTGAAGTCGACGGCGTTCCCGTACAGAAGCTGATATAACTTGATCTAACCTAACTAAGGCGGTCTCGGGAAAGGGTAAACATTAAAACATTCTTAGGGATGTTGGAACGTAAAGATGACGAGGGGAATTTATATGCCTTTGTGAGTATATCTCTTGTTGTGTCTACAATGTAGATTAGGCTTGATATCTTTGCGACTAGTGAGGCATCGCTATTAATTGGATTGCAGAACGAGGAAGATTTACCATACGAGGAAGAAATTTTACGAAATCCATATTCAGTGAAACACTGGCAACGCTATATCGATCACCTGAAAAATACAAACAGTAAGAATTTAAATGTCGTATACGAACGGGCATTGAAAGAGCTACCTGGCAGGTAAAATCATTGTTTCAATTGATTCTACATAATATTTTCACAATTACCTGAAATATTACGTGTATATTGTTACAGTTACAAGCTGTGGTATAATTATCTTCGACAACGTGTCAGCCAGTTGAAGGGCCGCTGTATAACAGATCCATTGTACGAAGATGTTAATAATGCATTTGAGCGCGCTTTAGTATTTATGCATAAAATGCCACGCATATGGATGGATTATTGTACCTTAATGACCGAAGAATGTTATATAACGCGATCGCGTCAAGTGTTTGATCGGTCTCTTAGAGCGCTGCCTATCACACAGCATCATCGTATATGGCCATTGTATATTCATTTCTTGAAAAAGCACAATGTTTATGAAACTGCCGTTAGAGTCTTTAGGAGATACTTGAAGGTACGTAATATATCATACGTAATTTATCATACTCTAAGATTCCTTTTAATCTTACGTGTGTAGCTAGCACCTGAAGATACAGAAGAATATATCGAATATTTGATATCGATCGGAAGACTCGACGAGGCTGCCGTGAAACTCGCGCAGATTGTCAATCAGGATGATTTTGTATCGAAACACGGGAAATCGAATCATCAACTGTGGAATGAATTATGTGATTTAATATCAAAGAATCCTTCCAAGATTAAGTCTTTGAATGTAGATGCTATTATTAGAGGTGGCTTAAGACGTTACACGGATCAATTGGGACCTTTATGGAATTCATTGGCAGATTATTACGTCCGAAGTGGTCTCTTTGAAAGGGTATTGCTTATTATATCTCTCTATTACCACCATTCTATTCATTCTATTTTTCATATCTGTACAAGTAAATAATGCTATCTAGGCGAGGGATATCTACGAAGAAGCTATACAGACTGTTACCACCGTCAGAGATTTTACACAAGTTTTCGATGCCTATGCACAATTTGAGGAACTTAGTCTGAAGAAGCTCATCGAAGAAGCTGCAAGAAATCCTACTGACGAAGGTAACTAACATTTTTTATCTCAATCTCAATCTCAAGGAAACATTTTTATATTGTCTTAATTATAAATTGTATCTTGCACAGACGACATCAAATTAGAATTGAGACTGGCACGATTGGAACATCTTATGGAGAGGAGACTGTTATTGCTCAATTCTGTATTATTACGGCAAAATCCGCACAATGTAGCAGAATGGCATAAAAGAGTAAAACTTTATGAAGGACAACCACATGAGGTAAAAGAGAAGAAGAGAAACAAGGTGAAATATACTTTGGAATAATATTGTGAATATTTTCTTGTAGATAATTAATACATACACAGAAGCGGTGCAGACTGTTGAACCGCAGTTGGCAGTTGGTAAATTGCACACATTATGGGTTGCGTTTGGCAAATTTTACGAGGAAAACGGACAAATAGAGGATGCTAGAGTGGTGTTTGAAAAGGCGACTCATGTACCATACACCAAGGTAGACGATCTTGCCTCGGTATGGTGCGAGTGGGCAGAAATGGAAATTAGACATGGGTAAGGAATAAACGTTATTTTCTAAATCGGAAGAGAAATGTAAATCAAATAAAATCTTGATATACGTTGTATAGGAACTGCAAAGAAGCTTTAAAACTCATGCATCGTGCTACTACAATGCCAGCTAGAAAAGTTGCATACCACGACGAAGCGGAAACGGTACAAATGAGATTATACAAATCTTTAAAAGTATGGTCTATGTATGCAGATTTGGAAGAAAGTTTCGGAACGTTCAAGGTATATTTACTTTTATCCTCAATTCTTGTAGGTGATTCTTTTGTTTATCAAACAATTCTTCAATTTTATGTTTGCTATAACAGACCTGCAAAGCAGTGTACGATAAAATAATCGACCTGAAAATCGCAACTCCTCAAATCATCATTAATTATGGACTGTTTTTGGAAGAAAATAATTACTTTGAGGAAGCATTTCGGGTACGTACGTTGAATATTTCTCATAATTTCATAGCATTTTACAATATTGATCTTTTAGGCATATGAAAAAGGTATCGCGTTATTCAAGTGGCCTAATGTTTATGATATTTGGAACACGTACCTCACGAAATTTTTAAAACGTTACGGTGGGACAAAACTGGAACGTACCAGAGATTTGTTTGAGCAATGTATAGAATATTGTCCACCAAAGTACGCCAAAGGTATATATAACAACTTGTCTCTCACATATTATCTTACTAATTTACACATTATGTAATGAAAATCTATTTGCTGCAGCCTTATATTTGCTGTACGCCAAACTGGAAGAAGAACATGGCTTGGCGAGACATGCCATGTCTGTGTATGAACGTGCGACAAATGCTGTCCTCCCCGAAGAAAGATTCGATGTAATGTTTCTCTCTCTTTTTTAAATCACAAACAATGTGAATGTAAAACTATATAATATAAAAAATTAATTTGCAGATGTTTAATATATATATAAAGAAAGCTGCCGACATATATGGTGTGCCGAAAACTCGACAAATATACGAAAAGGCTATTGAAGTGTTGAATGATGAAAACACAAGAGAAATGTGTTTACGATTTGCAGAAATGGAGACGAAATTGGGAGAAGTAGATAGAGCAAGAGCTATATACGCGCATTGTAGCCAAATATGCGATCCGAGAGTTACATCCAACTTTTGGCAAATTTGGAAAGAATTTGAAGTGAGGCATGGAAACGAAGATACAATGCGTGAAATGCTTCGAATCAAGCGCAGCGTGCAAGCTATGTACAACACTCAAGTGAATATGATGTCTGCACAAATGTTGAATAACGCATCGAATCAAGTAGCCGACGTTCCAATGGATGCTATGCGTTTATTAGATAGTAAAATTACATCGAGTGCAGGTAATAGAGGAGTTAAACTCTCCACCTTGGTTTTCTTCTTTTACATAAATGTCGAATCTTGATTTGCAGACAACGCCGCTGCTGATATCAAAGGAGGCATCAAATTTGTACGTGGCGTAACGGAAAAGGATGGTAGAGCGGAATCTCATGTGAATAATCCAGATGAGATTGATATCGATATAGACGATGAAAATGATAACGATGCAGAAATAGAGGAAGGTATTTACAAGTATTGTACATATCTCTTTTGTCTTTTTCCACAACTGTTATTAAGACAAAGAAGATTGCATTATTTCTTTTTCAGTTAATTCTTCTAAATTAATGTTGAACTCATTTCAGACATACCGATCGAAAAACAGACTATACCATCGCAAGTATTTGGCAGTTTAAAGGCAGCCCAAGGTGAAGAGGATTGAGATTTCAAGTATCACGTTTGTAGATCTAGGTAGCAATTATAATATTGCTGTATCATTTTTGAAATATGATCCATAAATAAAATTTGAGTATTTTACCCTTTATTTACCGCTAGACATACCTTTCCCTTAATGTAATGGTGCCCTGTACGTAAAATTCCAAGTTTCTATGCGCGCGGAACTGTAGGCTCAACATGGCGGCTGTAACCGACCAATCGGCAAGTAGGGACAAGTTGACCACTCGTGATAGAGGTCTTGGTATAGTCGTGTTGTTAATGACACATCTTGAGGTGAGCTGTGTGACGAATGCTGAAAAATCTCAAGTCATTCGGTGTTCTTTACAACAGTCTGAGTTAAATTAGAAACTCTACGACTATCATGGAAGAACTGGGCATTATTTTGCCCGATAAGGTACGTTTATTCAGAGTGTAGGAAAACAATTCTGCTAACCTTTCACTGCTAACCCAACTATAAACTTATTGTACCTGCCTTTTGATGGAATTGCAATTAGTTTCAAATAATTTTTAATAATTGTATCAACATAAACGTGTGTTTGTAATATACATTTGCAGGATGTAGGTGAAATTGATTGCAAGCCAGCTGCCGGTCATTATACAGGAGCTGGAGACGAGCTGGATGTTGAAGATCTTTACACTAAATATAAGGTCAATTTTAGACATCTTTATTGTCGTATATCGAAGCAAGTTTTACCCTAACAAGCTATGTAATTCTCCAAGTAGAAATTGCAGAGGATGTTGGAATTCCTTGAGGTACAAGAAGAATATATTAAAGATGAACAGCGCAACCTAAAGAAGGAATATTTGCATGCTCAAGAGGAAGTTAAACGTATCCAGAGTGTCCCTTTGGTCATTGGACAATTTTTAGAAGCTGTCGATCAAAACACTGGTATAGTGGGCTCTACAACAGGTTCCAATTATTACGTACGAATTTTGTCTACCATAGACAGGGAACTCTTGAAGCCTTCTGCTAGCGTGGCGCTTCACAAGCATAGCAACGCTTTAGTGGATGTCTTGCCGCCAGAAGCTGACTCGAGCATTTCTATGTTACAAGCAGGTACCAATTTCATGTCTTTTATCTCAAATATACAAGTATACAATAGGCTCTGATCAACTATCTAATGCATTACAGATGAGAAACCAGATATCCAGTACAGCGATATAGGTGGAATGGATATGCAGAAGCAAGAGATCAGAGAGGCAGTCGAGTTACCTCTTACTCATTTCGAACTATATAAACAGATTGGCATTGATCCACCGCGCGGTGTACTTATGTATGGGCCACCTGGTTGTGGAAAAACTATGTTGGCTAAAGCTGTTGCTAGACATACCACTGCTGCCTTCATTCGCGTGGTGGGCTCGGAATTTGTGCAAAAATATTTGGGCGAGGGACCAAGAATGGTGCGCGACGTTTTCCGTTTGGCAAAAGAGAATTCGCCGGCTATAATATTCGTCGACGAGATAGATGCTATCGCTACAAAGAGGTTCGACGCTCAAACTGGAGCAGATCGTGAGGTGCAACGTATTCTCTTGGAATTACTCAATCAGATGGATGGTTTCGATCAGACGACTAATGTCAAAGTTATTATGGCGACAAATCGAGCGGACACATTGGACCCTGCGTTGCTACGTCCTGGTAGATTGGATCGCAAGATTGAATTCCCATTACCTGACCGTCGGCAGAAGCGCTTAATCTTCTCCACGATTACTGCAAAAATGAACTTGAGCGAAGAAGTGGATCTTGAGGATTACGTAGCGCGGCCAGATAGAATTTCTGGTGCTGATATCAATGCCATCTGTCAAGAGGCAGGAATGCATGCGGTCCGTGAAAATCGTTACATTGTTTTAGCAAAAGATTTTGAAAAAGGCTATAAAAACAATATCAAGAAAGACGAGTCTGAACATGAATTTTACAAGTAAACCACACATGTAATATTTATATGTTATACAAGTTTGAAATCTGTAATAAATACATTGGACTATATCCTAACCGTTTAGAAAGCGAAGAAAGTTATATCTTTTTCCAATATATACAATTTAAATATATGAAGGGAGGATCTTTGTCTAAACGGCAATGGCATTCCAGTTAAGATATAGTTCAATGGATGAATACAATTGCTGTGGCCACTTTTCATTTTTTATCCATCTTTTTCTTTTGCTTCACTTCGGATCTCGTCGTTTGGCGAATGTCGCAATCAAGTAAAGATTTCTTGGTGATGCTCATTTGTTCTTGATTTAAGAACAAATAAACCACACGTGTATACATGTCATATCCACGCCCCATTAGTTGGACGAGTGTGCATATCCACGGGAATGTTTCACCCAATGTAAGACCGTGGTTTTTCCTTAATATATTCTTACATCAAGGTCATGTTCTTCGAGTGCCACAAATTGTGGCAAAAAAGTCTACAAAAATCGGTATAAAGAGACATTTTCTACAGCAAAATTGTATCGTGTACGTATCTGTCTAACAATAAGAATGCAAAAAACTCCAACAACGTTATATATATTTATATGTGTATAAATTTAAACATTTAATTTAGATTTTTTCATTATTAATTATAGTGATTATACAATGACGATAACAAATATTTAATAATTTGAAATTATTTACAAGAGTGTAGTGTTGAAAGCTCAAATAAAGATTGCAATTTAAAAGATTAGACTATGTTGTATGTTAATTTATATTTTCGAGAGTTTCATAGATTACTGGAAATATACGGCGGCAAACATGCAAGAAATTAGAAAAGAATCGATTATGTCGGAGCTTATAAAAGCTATTTTTGAGCGTGCAACAGAAAAAATGGAATTAGCAGTAAGTAGTTATCACTTTTAGTCTATGTGTTTATTAATATCGTTACAATATGACACATGATTTTAGGCGGCGTTGCCTTCTCTTATATCGAATCCTGAATTATCTCGCTTTGCAATCCTCACAACTGACGAAATGAACATAATAATTCCTCCTAATAAATACTTGCCGCAATCAGGTGATACAAAGCTTTAAGAAATATTCTGATAACTTTTTAAACATTTCTGTAATTGGTTTCTGTAATAATTGTTTCTCTCTGAAGCACAAATGTGTACCTTAGATCGTACATGCCGTCATTGACGATTTTTAATTAATTTATACTTTAGCATCTATTGATGAGAATTCAAAGTCAAAAGTGTGTACTAAAGAAACTTGGTACGACATACCCGGATTTGGCTGTGCAGTTTACAAAGTACTGAAGGTTGTCCACTGGTCATTCATGTATATCGTTCAAAATTTGCACTTATATTTACAAGTAATCCATTATAGGCCGCCAGCAATCTACGGGCTGTGGACTGCCAGAAATAAGAAAATTCAGGATCAATCCAAATAATTTATCATACTTTCAAAATAGCAGACCAAATTTTCAAGAAAAGTTATATATACAGAGGTTTTTTGGATCGCTGAATACAATACAAATACAATTCAAGATGGCCGGTCGGATCTCGTAAAAATCCAGATTATTCGAGGAAAATTTGGTCAAAATATGGAACATGTGGAAAGAAACTAAGAAAAATTTCGCGGATCTAGATGCATATTCGTAATCAGCGATCCCCAAAGCTCTCGTGTATATAACTTTTCACCGGGAAACATTTTTTTTCATAATTTTATATATTTCGATTCAATGTTCTGAATTTCTTAATTTCTGGCAGCCCACACCCCGTAGATTGGCGTAGATTGCTGGCGGCCTATAATGGGTTAATTTAAAAGACATCTATACGAAAAATGTATCATTGATTAGAAAAAAATTGACATCCATAATGCAGACTGTGATAAAAACAGAAGGGTATTTTCTCACCTTCTTCGTTTTAAGTTTATGTAACTTTTCATTTATTTATTCTTTACAGATTCTTGATAAACATATCGATGTTCTCCGCACGAGTTCTCGTAAACACATCTCAACGACATCGGCTTTATTTCTACGTCACATTCGTTACTTTTTAGAAAAAGTTTTACAGAGAATATATCTTACGCCGGAACAAGAGAGAAGCAAAGAACTACATTATAGAAACCTTTGGTATTGTCAGAAGAAATCTATTGAAGATATTGCCAGTAAAATACATATATGTATTATACAATTTCTAATTCGGCAAAAAGTATAGTATGTGGAATGACAATCATTCTCTGATTGTGCACGAAATCTTGTTCTACATATTCACATGTTACCAAGTACTAGCCTGCAGATTGGGTCTCGATTCTACATTCGTGTGATTGAGCTTATAGGGCAGAATTATTAACTATTAATTCTTTTCTCTCTTTTCTTTTCCCTTCTGATGGAAATATATAGGATTTACAATGGATCTGGAAAGGCAACGAATTAATCATAGAAAAATGCTCGAGGACATAATCAAGCGATATAAGAAACATGTAGTCGCTATCGATGGTATTGACAAAAGATGCAACGAATATGCCACAAGTACTAAGTATCTATTTTTAAATCATTTTATACCACACTTAACACCTCACCGTTTTTAATATATTTGTTTTTGCACTTTTCGATAGCGCGAGATACGAGCAGAAACAGATTGTTATATGCAAAGCGTGGGAATACGAGCGAAATGAAATGCAGGCAGCAATGGGAAACGTTATCGATGATCTCGAGTTTTTAAAAGACGTAAATACAAAATTGGGACGAGCAATCTGTGAACGAAAGTATGTACGCACAAAATTTTCTATGAGTAACATATTTCTTTGTGTGTATTTACATATGTATAATCGCGTGCATAGATGGACAATTAAGTCAAACTTATTGGCAATAATCACCAAGTATGATACAGAAATTGGCAGTAGATATAGAACGTTGAAAAATCTTAGCGAGGTATATAAACGCGACAAATTGGAAAAACACGATTTGGAGGTGACTTTTTTTTACATAATGTGTACTTGTGCGCATACGTTATGTACGCAACGTACAAAAAGAGAATATCGTGACAATTTAACTCCATTGCAGAGAGAGATAAAGCAACAAGGAAAAGTATACCGTGTTTTTATTGAACGAAGAGAGAAAACTGGAATAACATATTTCTACAAATCTTTAGTTATATTTAAACGAGCACGCTCCGCAAGGATTATTCAACGTTGGTGGCGCCAAATTTTCTGGGCTAGAAGAGGAAAGGAAGAATTTGAAAGAGAAAAGAAAGAGTAACTTTCATATACGTATATTTTACATCGCATCAAAATTGACATTGCTCTAAGTTTTACCAAACCCGAAATTAGAATAAGAAAAAAAAATCACAAGAAATATACATTATTTTATTTATTGATTCGATCTAACTTATTAACACTTGTTGTACAATGTTGGCTTCGTAATAATTTCTTGCTTCTTTTATTTTAGGTACAACATTTCCAGTTACAACAATTAAATCTGGTATGTATAATATTATATCAATAATAGTATACTTCTTTATTAAATAGAAGCATGCTGCATATAATAAACGTAATTATACCTAAATATGCAAACAACTTGTATAACATTCTATATTTGTAAAATAGGTATTACAAGGTATACCAGGTTACACATTAACGAGGAATAAATACGTCATAAAAACCAAATAAACATGTACATTTACCGAGAAATAGATTTTGACTGAAAGCTACTATTTTATCAAGTTTTGCAATATAATTTGTAATATTGTAATGTAATTAATTCAACATTTGCTCGAAACAATTGTAATTAAGGCTCCTGATCTCTCATCACAGCTATGTCGAATTATGAATTCTTCCCTCCTATACGCGATGAAGATAAGTTTATTTTTCGTATGTTTTTCATGTTCGATAGTATAGATATATGCTGCTAGATACAGTAAGATATACCAAAGACATCTTTCTCGGTTCACGGTAGTTTATAGTCCAACTGTCACGCCAATTGTTTCCACTGTAAACGTAGAATACGTATAAAATGAATTGTACGTTCGTTTACTAATAGAGGATAACAAAAGAAAGATCAATTTATAATATTCGATGTAACTGTACAGTGGATTTGGTACAAGAACAATTTCAAGACATTTTTAAAAGTTTTGTAAAACTTTTCACAGGTTTCTACGAATGTCTTATGAAAGATTCAGGCAATTTTCGTATATACGTTCAGTCGATTTATCTCACACTTTTACGTAATAACATTATATTACATATGATTACTATTCATTACGAGTGTATATACGTCTGTATTGTTTTTACATTGTTGGAAATCTTAGACATGTTCTTTCATGTTAACAATATTTTTACCATTTACACCATCATACATTTGGACAATACATGGATAAATATTTATAATTAAAGAAAGGTTATCGTAAACATGCAGTATTATAATTTACTTTGATACGTGTGTCCACGTACGTGGCATGAAAATTCAGATTAACCGGTCCGATACATACATGACATTATACTTTTTACAAAAACCTCGCGCTTTGTATCTTCTAAAAGATGTTATAGAATACATTACATCAAGAGGCGTTCTAATTTTTTCCATTTCCGTTTAATAGTCAATTACACAATATACTTTGTGTATTGAAACACTCAAAGTGAAAGTGTTTTCAGTGATAATACAGTAATCTATTTTGAAAAGATTTTGTTGAAATAATTTTATGTAACTCAATACGATAATATATTTTATTGCAAAATAATTAACGCATAGATGAAATGTCTTAAAAAATATAACTTTTCATTTAGTGTGATCAAAGGCAATGTTTATTTATTTTCATGTTACTATTTCGATTGTATACATTTTTATTCTGAGATAAAAATCTCACATTTTTTAAAATTTTGAGACAAAATAGAATAAAAAGTGATATCTGTCATGTTAAGATAAACTGAATTTGAAATCAATCGTATTACACTTATTCCTAAGCGATGCTGTCCGATGTCATAAATACACGAGAGTGTGCAGAAGATACAATAATTATTATATCGTAACAAATTTTTATATATTTCATAATGATTATTCACACGTAAATGCCATTTTTTAATATTATTAACAATCAATATACAGATTGTAAGTGTGGGATTAATATCAATATGCATAACACATATACATAGAATATTTTCCTTTAATAAATTTGAGTCAAATCTTTCTTATAAGTGCGTATTCTTGTTAATTTAATAATAAATATATTAACCGATCGTTAAGATCAAGAATAAAAGTTTTATTAAAGAAGAGCACGTTTAATTTTCAGAAAGTTAGAAACATATTTAATTATATTCTAAACAAGTGTCAAACTTCATAATTAGGCCTCCAATGAGTAGCCGTCTTGTGAAATTCATTTAAAAATTATATCACGTTTTCTACATTCTGTATAATTATTATATTCAAATATTACATTACCTATATCTCAAGAACTTAACCGCGGACGAGTGGTCGGGTCGAGATATCAATAACTATGTGCAAACATTCTAGAGAGGAGAAAAGGACTACCTTTCATCATACATTATAGCTGAGTAATTTTACGTTTTACAATTAGTATAAGAATTCATATTTTTATCAAGGCTTCATCTTATTTTACTTTTTGCTCGTATATGTGTGCTAATCTTTTAACAATTCTATTATGGGAACACAAAACATAAAAAGATGGACAAATCAATATTTTCCAAATTGGAAGAGCTCAAGTATTAAGTATATCTTTGTGTACAAGAAAATTGTAAAATAGTACATGTAGTTTCCTACACAGGTGGAAGATCGCTATGTTGGACTACATAAGAGAACATATTTGCTATTTGCTATTTGCTACAACAATGGCACAACTGAAACAAAATTTTCTTTAGAAAACCAGTTTGAACGTTTGGAATTATAACAATTGTGTAATATCATTTTTATCACATGTAGGGGAATAAAATGTCATTAGCTTTTTATTCAAAGTTCAAAGGATTCATTCTTTCTCCTGCAAACAATTTGAAAATAACAATTTCTTGTTGTAGCAAATGAGCTATACATACATACACTATTTGGAACAAATACAATGTAATAACGATTTCTAAAATGATACAGACTGTATATACAAGAAAGAACAGGAGAAATCTATTTTACCAAGATAATCAACTTATAATCTATTGTAATGAGCTATTGTAGAGATCCTGCACTATAAATATGAATTCAATGTTTATGATAGGTTTTCCATATATTCAGTCTACCATCTGGTTGGTCCGGTGTCACTTGTAGCTGCATTGGCTCCTACGAATGGATTTGTGGCAGCCGCTACATAGAAATATCTTATTAGTGAAAACGAAGAAGAGAGCGAAAGATTAAAAAAAGAACCATTTCTCTTATTTATTGCACTATAGCATAAGTATGTGACAACATACTTGTAGAAAACAAAACTATTGACATTAACATTGTTAGATAATTAAATACATTATCGTTTTTTTACAAGCAGTTATATATGATAACTCATTATCAATTAATAATTTCAAATTGAATTAAAGATTTTATAAATGGAATTTTCTACTAAATCCTGAGAAATGTCGTAACTTTATAGGGAAAAGAATATATATATGTGTGTGTGTGTGCATTTATATACACGTGCGTACATATATCTTTCTTCGTTACAAGTACAAATATTTATTACAGGATTTTATCAAATTTAGGAAAATTTATAATTATAGGAAAATATAATCACGCGCGCGCGAATGGGCGCAGCACATGTTATTTCAATAAGTTTGTTCTAATTATTAAAATTCCTTATTAAACTTCAATAACATATCTTGTTTTGGAAATATATTGAATATTAAAAGTACGCATATAACAAAAAACTTCACTGGCAGTAAAACTAAGAATGTAGGATAGATTGGAAATAATAACAAAAAAACTATAGCAAAGTGTGCAATTATGTAGTGTATATTTGTCTATGACAAAAATAATATGATTATTATGAATGCACGAATTACATTTATCCAAACATTTACACAAATTGCAAACTGAAATAATTTCAATCAAATTTTTTAAATGAATGTTATAAAATACAACATGGCTGTAAAAGTGAATTGTGTTGGATATGTGATAATAACAATAACATAAAAACTACATTATTTTTATGTAGGTATATACATACATTTATCAATCATTTCATTGTTCAATTAATCTATTTAACTATCTTTATATAGATGCAGATAGTTTTATATGTACACACACAAGTACATACATATATACACAAATATATATGTATATGGATATAATCGATAATTGATTTTATACATTTACCTATGTATAAAATATATATTTTAAAATCAGCCAAGGAATCTACCACTACAGAATACTCAGTTTAAGATATACTATATGTACTCTCACACACATATGAATACATACATACATACGTACATACATACATCATATAGGATTAAAACTACTGAATATTCTGTAATGACAGGCTCTTTAGCTAATTTTAAGTCAATTTTTCTTAGTGAAATATCGAAGCAATAATTTCAATTTTCAAATTACAAGCGCTTAAAAATTAAATTAGTCTAATCATTAAAAAGACATCTCTAGTGGTTGTGAAATTACCAGAGACAGTTTTTTTTATTGACCTCCTGACCAATTTAGAGATAATTTTTTTCTAGCGAATATAAAAAAAATATTTTTCGCTTTGTATAGAAATTTTGTAGTTTATAGATTACGAATATCTTGAGATAATCTTATCATTATACATATTAGTGTGTCCCTGTTTCTGCGACACGTATATTTACGTTGCATGTATATACTTGTGTGTATACAATTATGTGATATTAGCAATAAATTAACTAACTAAAGTGTACATTCGTATGTTATTGCTTACTACACAAATTATATGAAGAATCGCAGCAAGTACGAAGCTCTTGAATAAAATATTTAATATTTTACTTTTTTTCAAAGAAAAAAGGGTTTGCGTTTTCTCACTCTATAGTACTTTCTTATACATTATTAAAAGGAGAGATCTCCCCTTGATTTGTGGAAGCACACATAACTTTTTCAGTTTTAATAATTCAAATCACTCAAATGAGTGTGTCCTTTACGGAAGGGAAAAAAGCAACTCTCTCTCTCTCTCTATACATATATGTATATAATAGAAAGGATACTGCTTATTTGTAATTATCGCCGAATTTTATATACACTTTTAAGCAATGATTTATACTTTAAATCTTTTAAGTAACCATCTACAAAGTATACAAGTATGTATTATAAGAAATAGTGACATAATTAAAAAATTGCTATCGATGTGAAAAAGTGATAAAGTAACAATTAATTAACAAAAAGTGTGGATAAGAAGAAATGGAATGAGTGATTTTGGACGAGAAACATGGATTGGATGATCAATGGCAATATGTGAAAGATAAAACTTGTAATATGCACTTGCTACATTTAAGAAGTCGTAATACCAGTGGTATAAATTACACGTTCACCGCCGCTGTTTAGATTCGTGCTTTCGTTAGCCGTTGACGCTGGCGCCGCTGAACCTGGTGCAGGCATGGCAAATATTGGTTGCTGTGTATTAGATGCATTTTGAGATGCGCCACTTTGAGGTTGAGCTGTTACAGCATCATCATCACTTTCTTCTTCCTGCGAAAGTACATTTCGGATATCGAAAAGAATCGTTGTTTACAAACAAGTATTACAATAGTTGTTTGAAATATATATCTTTTTGTTGTATAAATAATATGAATTAATTTTTTTATCGTGCGGTAAATAATATTTATCGTTTCCTTTTCCTGCAATTGCAAAAAACCAAAGAAAGAAATTGTATATATTTCAATGTTAATGTTAATTACAGTATCAACTTAACACAGTTAGTAAATATATAAATCACAATTTATATCTGAAATGATTTGAATTTATAAAAAATTTTAATCTTACACATATATGTGATGCTTTGTTACAACCTCAAATATTATTACAATTTTTAAGTAATCTCATTTTTCTATTTGTGTAGTATCTTTCATTTTCATTATATTCATACCAAGTCAACCTTTAATCACAATTACTTTTAGCAATACAATTTTTGTTCGAGTGACATGTTCGAGATGATTTTGTGAGGGGATTGTATGATAAGATGACAAATTTTACAATAAAAAAAAGACTTTCAACCTAGTAAAATTTGATTTTGGAATTGAAGAAATAAATAATTTGGAAGAGAAACACAAGGGACGCAACAAGTATCTCTCTCTCTCTCTGATTTCTACTAAATTTATGTTTGCGACAAGATATCTCTTTTATTTTTTTCTTTAATATATGGTACAATTCTGTGACCTCAAATAGTAAGGGACACATTATTAAAACAAAAATAAATATCGATATTTCAGAGAACGAGAAAAAAATTTTACAACGTTTACGATATTAACAGTTATAATGCAACAAATTTTATAAATCATCAATTACGCGTAAATGTATATATTATAATTGTATACTATAAAATTTAATAATAACAAATCCACCTAATAAATTGCCATGTACAGTAACTACAGATACCTACATCATGCATTTGTGCGGAATGAGCGCTACAATAATTAATTTTTTTACACGGTTCATTAAAAAAAAAAGCAGTGCGCGCAAATATTATGATAAAATATGATTAGGGAAATTACTATGGTGCTTTGCGTAAGATCTGTGCGAAATCATTCCGACATAATGTTCGAACAACAAAAATAGAAAGCAATATTTACGATTGACTATAGCAAACAGAAAAATAAGGTAACTTAAATCTCGAGCACGATGGAAACTTACCTTGCCAAAACCTCGCGGTTGGTTTGTCACAACAGCCTCTGGATTCGGGTTCCGCTATAATACAATAATAACATAAACAAAACCGCTAAACTATGTAAGACTGTCTGTAAAAACGAAAGAAATAATGTAACATGCGTGAATATAAGAAATCATGCACTTTCAGTTTGTGCTGTTTGACACAAGTAATAGATGTACATACAGCGATCTGTAAGAATTTGTGGAACAAATAGATAGCACTATTCTACGAAAATGTGAAAAGAATTAAACTAGCAACAATAATGTTAGACTCGTGTATTCTGGTATGCGACAAAGATTTTTCATTAAAAAGCGCAATAAATTTCATTATCTACGCATAAGAGTGATGTTTTGTGTGCATTGATACGAATAGAGAAACAACTATCAATGGATAAAGCCGAGCTTGTGTTTGCATGTATGTACATACGTGTATACGAGGCATCATCAAATTCATATAATGTAATGGAATGGAAAAGGAGACGATTCTTCATGAAAAAAATGTAGAAAAACATTAAATAAAACAATTTAAGTTACAAAGATATTTCTTCGATAAAATATTGTGTCTTTTCACACATACTTTGAGAGCTACAGATGAGACAACTCGTCGGCGTACAAAGTCATTTATTTCCCTGTACTTGGTTATTTTTATAAACAATAAAATCTTTGACTGTAGAATAGGATTTTATTCTACATCTTTTTCATGAAGAAACCGATTTCCGATTGTTGAATAGTTAACCAGTAGTTGAGAAACATTCCTTCCTGTGCGTACGGCGGGCGTGTATGTGTATGTCTATCTATTAAATTAATCTTTTTTCATTAAGCATTTGTGGTGTTTATAAAAAGATAACAAATAATACTTGCAATTTTTAGGTACGAATACAAACTTTTACGCATACGTCGGTCATATGTAAGTTGCATGAACTCCTTAAATCGCTTGTTTTTGCAATTAGATATCTACTAAGATATTCTTTCCTCGCTGACATGCTTTCCAACTATGTGCCAGAAATTTATGTATCAAGATAAAGGAGAATTTAAAGTTTATGTCTCAATATTTTTTCACTTTAGTCACATATACAATGTATTTGTGTTTACGTGCGTGTACTGTATTTAGTTGGATTAATATTAATAGCATTTAATTGTACAAGTTTGTATGTGCACTGTTATATAGTACAGGATTTATAACAAGCCTGTCCAAGTTTATCAAGCGAAAGAATCTGTCATCCCTATCTGCAATTGTTCACGTTGCAAGTCCTTCTGACGATGCAATTAACCAATCTTACGGCGCGTCTATAATAATCTAAGGATAATATTAACGTCTGTCTCGTTTGCCTCTTGCAGCCATTTTGCTTAGCGAGAAAACTTGAACAGGCCTAATTCAGGACAATTTGCTAAACAGATAGTGTTTTCTGTCGACTAACTATTAACTATAACGATAACAAATACTATGTCCACGATGGCATCATATTAATAATTGTTTGCCTTAAATGATTGTCAATACAACATTTGATTCAATTACATGAAAATTCTTTTTATTATACTTTAAAGTACCTTAATAATATCGAAAAGGAAAAGACATTTGTCTATTCGATATGTGACAAAAATTTATGTCTAAGAAAATATAAATTTATGCTAAAGATTTTATGGAGGTCTACACAGAAAGAATGGATTATCTATTCGTTAACGTTAAACGAAAGGTTTAAAAAGTTATAGTGGTGATTTTGTAATAGATGATTAAATCTATAGTCAAAACAATAGATATTTTTAGCCTCTTCATGTAAATTAACGTACAAGTAATCGATTATTTTTTCATGCAGCGATATAGATATGCACGTGTTAGCAACGTATTAATTGACTGCATAAAAGTCAAGCTTTTGTTGTTACATATAACGTGCGTTGTACAAGGGTAAGTTTTAACAAATTTTAAATCAAGTCCAAGTGGGTATATGATAATATATTATAACGTATATCACACATATCTTTGCCGAATTGCTTATACATATTACTGCAACGAAAGAAAACTGTCAAAGAAACTATGTGTGTAAAAGGAAGTGGTACCACGTTGGTACATGGAAAAGAATTGCGAAAGAAGGTAGAAAGATTGTACGTAACTGTTTCAGCTTGCGTATAATCAGATTAAATATTTCTCATTCGTAGAGAGAGTTCGTACCATAGATAATATATGTGTATCAAGAGTATTCTTGAAACTCTAAATATAGTATATTTCGGTTGGTAAAGAACATATGTATATTTTTTTAGATAGTGCAACTCGAGAATTAGTTGGAATATTAAAGATTGATGATGATGATATTATAAAATGCCAATGGAAGTAAAAAGACAAGTTTTTCAGTCGGCTTGGTATGATCATTTATACAATAGATGAAATTTCTTCTTGTGCCTATATTTTTCTTTTATATTTTGTTAATATTAACTTTTTCTCCTACTGTTTATCCGTAGCTTATCGTTATGACTTTCTTGTTACAAAATCTATCACAGAATAAATAATGAGAATTATATGAACATTTTTACCTGTAAATTATGATAAGCGCCACTATCTTCAGGAGGAGTTGGTTTGCATTTGCCGCAACAGAAATAGCAACAGCAGCAACAGCAGCAACAACAATAACAACCAGTAAGTATTCCACAAATTATGAACAGCGCCTGCAAAAACCATACACATTTAGACTATATATAGTGTCACAATGTTTATTTACCAATGTTTATTAACCATTATTTTGACATCAAAATGATATCTTTACCAGCATTTTGAGGCCAAAATAACGAACGCTATCTAGAATGGAATATGATTATTCTTTTCGTTAGTCTTACACTACAAAAATATAATACAATAGATTTATACTTTTACCTTGCACCATCCAGAGGTAACAACAAAATAAGCATTAACGTTTTCTTCTCCAAACTGCTCGGCGACGTATAAACCAAGAGATCCATAGTTATCGTATATATTACGTTTCGTTAGATCTGTCAGTATAGCATGTGCCCTATTAATTTCTTTAAACTGTAAACACAATCAATTACAAGGTGTTATATTTAAATACGCAAGACATCTCCTCAAGACACTCTAGAGTTACATGCTATTCAAGATGGAGACATTTTTATAAAATTGTATATTGCTACATTTATTAAAAGTGAATACATTGGAGAATGAAAAAACCTTTTCAGCTGCTTCTGGATTGTTAGGATTTTTGTCAGGATGATACTTCAAGGCCAATTTCCTATATGTCTTTTTAATTTCCTCCGAAGTAGCAGTTTTCGGGACTTCCAAGGTCTGATAGAGGGAGTCCCCTGCTGTACTGAAGAATTAATGAAATCAATTAAGAAATCTTGAACGAGTCAAGTTACATGATAAACAAAACCATCTAGT